CCACCCCATCGAGAGAGGCGGGCGTCCCCTTGGCCCCTTATCAAAGTGCTGCCGCAGTTCACCTGGCACTCGACACATTCTAGCTTTGCAAGTGCAGTTAGTAAAACTGTCCTATTCTGAGAGACTGGCTTGGGTAGAACAGCCTTGAGGTCACTCGCTAGCCTAGGCTGCCCAATGCTGCTCTAAAAGGAGAGTGTCAACACCAACACTCAGGTCTTAAACCTTCGGTCTCATACAAAACCTACATTTAGTAAGCTGAGAGAGTTCTTGAAGTGCGATTTACTTTTTCCCTAATCTTGGCAGTGTGGCGTCAGTTTCTGGCATAAACCACTCATCTTCTTTTAGCTAAAGTTTTTTAAGGGACCGTGGTCTATCTGGTCTTTTGCTGGTTTTTATTCTTGTTTGGATTTCTGTTAAGAGCTATCAAGAAAGATCAGCCCTCTTGCTGTCGAGTACCTGAGTTGTTGTTTGCAGAAATATAATTGTCTGGTGTATAGTTAGTTAATGGAAGGCGTGACTCGAGTGTTGTTTTCATTTAGATTCTTGAAGAAGCAACTGAAGAGGAAACCGCTCTCCATAATCAAATAATGCCAACTGTGGTTCGGCCTCCGAAACAGCTTCTTCCAGAATCCAAGCCTGCCACAGATCAGGAAATGGTACAGAATTTCCCTCTGCTCTGCCTGCATTTTATTCTGTAGCACGTTAGAATGCCTGGGAATCCTCTGAATTGTGGTCCTGTGGCTCTGATCCTGAATGGGTCAGGACTGATCAGCACTTGGTCCCCTCAGGTGTTGCGGGAGTTGGTGGCACTGCTCCCTGTGGCACCAAATGAATGTGTCAGTATTCTGACGCTCTGACCACCTAGGTAGTGTTGAACATATTAGGATGTTTTTTTAGACAATTAGGTATCCTTACCCTCCTAAGTAGTTTGCAGCTACTGCATGAGGAGCACGATAGCAATGTTCTCTTTACTTCCTGTCCTTAGCTGTTGAGCAGACTTGCAGTGCGCTGTTAGCTGCATGTGAATTTCTATAATGGGCTGAATGTATAACAGTAAGGAGTACTACTTAGCAGTTCTCTAGCACCCGCTATCCCTGCGTCTCCAAGGGTACGTCGAAGGGTCTACAGGAAGGTCCCAGAGCCCAAGCTGCAGCCTGAGTCCTGCGAGCCTGAGTTGGCTGGCGTGGCCAGCTGCCGTGTTCTGTGCTGCGTAAACATATCCTCAGTGCTTTTCAAACCTGGGTTATGTCTCTCCTCTGCTGGTAGAAGAATGGAGTGGGGAGGGCCCACAGCATCTCTGCGGCCACATGGAGAATCAGTCTGATCTACTGATGCCATTCTTGTGCTTTCACTAGTACACAAGGCTGGGAAGTGCTTCGGGGTCATTTGGGGTCGGATGCACTGTATTAATGAACGACATTCATATCAAACTTCCTAAGCCTAATTACAATTCAGTGCAGTTTAAATTGAAATTCTATCTTGTGGATGCACCTGCCATATCATATCACTCAGATGGATTCCTGGCATGATACAGATCAGATAAGCGCACTGAAAACATTGCTTTGAAATGGAGATTTGTAAACGATACTTAGAAACTTTTCTTTTTTTTCCCCTTAGGAACTCTTTGAGCTGTCGGTAAGTGTGAATATTTCTCCTCTTCCTAAGGAACTGGCTTTTAAAACCATTATTCAGGGGATACATTTGCCCAGCAACCCTCCCCTTTGTTGTCTCTGATCATTTACACAGGCCAGTTATGAGATTGGAATTGTGCGTCAGTTTCCATTTTCTTCTGCTTTGCAACGCATGTGTGTGGTGACAAGAGTGCTGGGGGAGAAAAGGATGGATGCGTTCATGAAAGGGGCTCCAGAGGTGATTGCCAGTTTGTGCAAACAGGAGACAGGTAAAGGACTAAACTGACTTTTCTCGTAGAGCTCAACTGTGAGATGAGAAGTTCTAATGATTCTGTAATTGACTTTTTTCAAGTTCCCGTTGATTTTGAAACGATTTTGGAAGAATACACTAAGCAGGGCTTCAGAGTTATCGCTCTTGCTCACAGAAAATTGGAATCAAAACTTACATGGCACAAAGTCCAGAATATTAACAGGTAAGAGGAGCTACTTTGAATTTAGAACTAACACATTTAGTACAGTTGAACCTGCACTGTTTACATTCTTTGTACTCCTTGATTGGCTGAAGGCTGCTTATTTTGTTCTTATCTAAATGACCTCTCCTGTCCATCTCTTTCATTTGTGTCTACCCACCTGCACTACAGTGCAGTGATGTTGATATCCTGGACATTAGACAGAATCCTAAGGCAAGCAAATACCTTTTAGTAATAAAGGGCATGGTCTGGAGCATCCCAGGCCCTGCAGAGTTCCAGAGTGATTGTGTGGTGGTGTCTGATACAGGTCAGCATGACAACCCCCACTCTCTTCATTCTGATGTGAGTAGATTTGTGAAACAGAAACTAACGTGTCCATGAAAAGTGTCACCGGGTGTGGTGTTCACAACAGCCAAACGTGATGAAGACCAGAAAAGACTGGACCTTTTTGACCAAAAGGCCTACTCCTCCGTAACTCTCCAATTTCGGATCTCAGAGTGTCAGATGATCATGGCCAAGGGCGACTATGCAAGCTACACATTTTTAGTCTCCAGACAACATCTTCCACAGATGCATAAAGAGCACTGGATTTCACAGAATCCCTGAACCTACCGGGAGAGGAATTCCAGAGGACAAGAGCTTCTCACGCCCTTCGTTAGTACCCAGTTATTGAAACACAGATCTGATGTCCTGGTTGAGGGTTGACTTTTTCATGTCTAGTTTTGCAAGCTGCAAACTTTTGCCCACCGCTTTTGGACACCACCTTTTCCATTTCCAACAGGCCTGGCAGTATATTACACCAGAAAGGTGGGTCATGGAAGATATAACATCTTCCACCTCATCTCCCTCCCTCTTTCCCAGCTCTCTTCAGCGGACCACTCACACAAGACTAGACTGAGTCGAGAGGACACTATCTGTCATTTAGGAGCATCAGAACTGGTCCCTCTCCTCGTAGGGCAAAGGGTTTTATTTTCTCATGCCAAAGGCGGACAGAGGGGTCAGACTGTAAGATGATCGAACACATTTGTAGTCTCAAAAAAGTTCACCGTGCTTTGGGAGATGCCTTTCTGCTTCCATGGACAAAGGTGCTTGTTTTCCGCATTCCCGCCAGCTCCTCCCCCTTTAGCTTTCAGAGAACAGGGCCAGGCAAGGGTTAATCTAGTCATCCCAGCCTGGTATCTTATCTGCTTCTCCTGCATTCACATTTCTCACCTCCCTCATCTCCTCTCCCAGAACTCAGGGTGTGTTCCTCACCCCAAGCTAGGGGCCCTCCAAGGCCAAGCTTGGCTCCTCAGTGGTTCTCGAATCCACTTGCTCGACAGGAGAACAGGTGGGAAAGGGGTCAGCTCCAGTTACTTCACTTCAGAAATGGAAAAGGTTCCACCACTTGTGCATGGATCAGCTCTGCTCTCTGCCATGTTGGGTTTCCTGCTGCATGCGAAGAAATCAGGGTCATCAGTTAGCTCTGTTAAGGCTCATCTGGCTGCGACAGCCTAACACTAAATGGTTCAGTGTTTGCCCGTCCGAGGTTCTCTGGATTTATTAAGGGTTTGGGGAAACCAGATTAAAGAGTCCGCTCTGACTTGGCATCTCAACCTGGTACCTCGCGGGACCTCTGTGTGACCCTGTTCCTTGTTTCTCTTCTCTGTGGAAATGGCCTTTTCAGTAGCTATCAAATCAGTCCACAAGGCTGGGGATAGTGGGGCCTCGATGGCTGATTCCTCCATTTATAGTATTTTTCCCCCAAGGACAAGGTTTCCTTATGGCCACACTCAAATTTTTACCTAAGATGCTGTTGGACTTCTGTATTAACTGGTCCCTTCCTTTCCTGGTGTTTCCCTAACCCACAGAACTCTTCACATGAACCCTTCTTTCGTAAGTTAGTTGAGAGAGACATTGGCTTTTTTATTTGGCTAGGACCAGGCAACTCAGGGACTCACCTGGCAGCAGGATCCACGGGGTCCATGATTTCTTCAGAGACATGAGGTGGAGCGCTGGGTGGAACGCTGCTTGCTGCAAGTCAGCTGGTACTTCACCTCCTGAAATGATAACGGGGCGCTCCCCCAGGTCGCCGGCCACTTCTCCCGCGCTCCTCCCTAACCTCCCAGGAGCTGCTCCTGGGAGAGACTGGGGCTCCGTGCTTGCCTTTTCTAACCGCGTCAGATGGGATGTGACACGTGGCTCTTTGTACTGTCTTCAGTCCTGGCCTGATCTCAAAGTGTCCTCCTCCCCGCGGAGGGATTGCTCCCAGGGCTCTGCCGCAGAAGAGGTGACTCCTCTCCTGAAGTGACTGGTTCTTTGGCGTCTGTGTCCTGTGGACACCAGGAGGGAGCCAGTTTGTCCCCACAGCACTGTGTGTTCTCGTGTGCTGCCTGCCTGGGCTGAGCACCCACGTCTCAAAGAAATCCAGTTACTGCACCAAGCAAGTGGCTTCTCTGGGCCTTCGTGATTCAGCACATTTGGTTTTTCTTAAAGAAATAAACTAACTGAAAGAGAGATTGTATTTTTAATTATGAATTTCTCTTTGCTTTGTCAGAAAAGCAGAGGCACGTTGTTTAACCCCTCCCCCCCAATAACACCGTGTCTGTCGTTCCCTGAGAATGTTTCCCCCTGTTGTTACAGAGATGCGATTGAAAGCAACATGGATTTTATGGGGTTAATCGTAATGCAAAACAAACTCAAGCAAGAAACCCCTGCTGTACTTGAAGACTTGCATAAAGCCAACATTCGTACTGTCATGGTTACAGGTTAGAATGTGCTTAATCCAGCATTTTGGGGACAAATGAATGTATTGCTTTGGAAGAGGAAGTTGTTTGTTATATTTACCATCAGTGACTCTCCAGCATGTAAAGCTGTGTGGTGTGTGGTATTTAGCATCTCTGGTCCAGGTTCTCTCTCTCATCCGGAAAAGGGCTGGTATTGCACAGGAAGGAGACGAGAAAGGGGCAATAAGCATTTTTGCTTTTGGTATCTGAGGAGAGGAAGTATGTAGAGCCCTGTGCAGCTACAAGATCTGTATCCACATCCATAGCCGCAAACATGAGCCCCCCTTTCCCGAGTGACGCCGGAAGCCAGCTGGGCCCGTGGGGCTGCGGCTGGCCCCCACACTGCCCCTGCCCCACATCTCCTGAGCAGCTCTGGGGTGGTGAATGTCTTGCAGAAATGATGCTCGGGCACAGCAGACACCCAGTGAAAAGGCATTACCATCCTGGAAAAGGGAAAAAAAGATTTGTCTGTGAAATAGCAAAGCGGGTCACTCAGGTCGTGGATGCTAGTCAGACAGGCCTGCTGCTATTTTAAAGCAGGTTTACTTGAGCGTGTTGCTCGTTTCTGTTGCCATTTCTTTAATACAACCCTTTTTTCTTTACTCGCCCCATAGGTGATAACATGTTAACTGCTATCTCTGTGGCTAGAGATTGTGGAATGATTCTACCTCAGGAGAAGGTCATTATTGCTGACGCGCTACCTCCAAAGGATGGGCAGGCTGCCAGGATAAACTGGCATTATGCAGATACCCTCACAAAATGCACTAACTCAGCGCCAGCCATTAACTCCCAGGTAATTCTGCATTGCTGTGGGCAAGAGTTAGTGTGAGATTTACTGCCAGGTGTGTTTACGTTGTTCTAGTGTGTAGTTGTAGAGTGCTACATGCGCTCCTTCACGGACAGCGGGCAATGCAATAGCACAATGCTGCCATTCAGTATAGGGCTGGCTTGGAACCATGGGCTGCTGGGAGGAAGAAATGCCTATGAGTCGCTCGTTCGTTGGACTCTGATCTAATTAACAACTAAGTGGATTCATTTTCAGTCTGGAAAAATAGTTTGAGGCCATTTGAGGCAGTCTGGGTCAGACGCACTCAGCTGGCCAGCAGGGGGTGCTGTTCTGTTGCTGAAGCTGTGCTGTTCTCATCGAAACACCGTTAACGTTAAAATAATGACAGTACACTGGAACGGAGCTCTGCTCGGGATTTACTTCGTGCTGGGTTTTGTCTTTTGGAAAAAAATAAATATATTGAAACCTGTCTCTGAGAGACAAGACCTCTCCTGAGTATTGGCCTGCATAACGGAACTGCCCCAGGGTATATTACACCGTGTCATGTTGGTTCTCATCGAAACACCGTTAACGTTAAAATAATGACAGTACACTGGAACGGAGCTCTGCTCGGGATTTACTTCGTGCTGGGTTTTGTCTTTTGGAAAAAAATAAATATATTGAAACCTGTCTCTGAGAGACAAGACCTCTCCTGAGTATTGGCCTGCATAACGGAACTGCCCCAGGGTATATTACACCGTGTCATGTTGCCCCCACAGTGCGCAGGGTGGTGTGAGTCCCGACTTCCCCGGGGTTGGGTCGGGATGGGACGGGTCTGGGGAACAGCCGGGTGGCCCTGGGGCAGGCAGGATAAAGGGCCTTCCCGCCGCGGTAAGGTGGTGGGGTGGGTTCCTGCATGGCCTAAGGGATAGGGCGCTCACCTGGGGAGGACAGGGTCGCAGGTTCGAGTCCTCTCTGAAGCAGCAAAGTCCTGCCCATTGGCAGAGACTGGCCCCAGACACATAGGCGGCCAGTGGGTTGCTGTCAGTTACATCCAGAGGCCCTGCATTCTGCATGCTCTAGTTCAGTTTACTGCGGTCAGTCATAAAACACCAACCAGCAGCAAAATCCCATCAACTGTAGTTTGGAGCTGCAGCTGCAACCGACTCTTTCATCAACCCGGTTTTATTATTTTTTATCATTCCAAAATATTTCTTTATAATTAACCGGGTAATAAACCATAGAAGTTGTGCTTATGAATAAGTGTGATTTAACCTTACAGGGTTTCCTGCAGCTCAAAGTACAATTCTCACAACCTTTTTCAAAGCTTTGTTTCCAAAGATCCCATGTTCTGTTGCTCCTTTGTGTAGTGGCTATAAAGAAACTGGGTAACTAATGTAACCAAAGCTCCTTGTTTTGATACAGGATATTCCGGTTAAATTGGTCGATGAAAACCTCGAGGACCCCCCGCTGACTAAATTCCATTTTGCAATGAATGGGAAGTCATTTGCAGTGATACTGGAGCATTTTCAGGACCTCGTGCCCAAGGTTGGTAACGTGACTGGTGTTTGGCTTTTCTGGTGCTGTGCAGGTTTCCAGTGACTAATGCTGGTAAGAAATCTGTTGTCTTTCAGCTGGTGTTGCATGGCACTGTCTTTGCCCGCATGGCGCCTGATCAGAAAACCCAGCTAGTGGAAGCTTTACAAAATGTAGAGTGAGTATTTATGTGGTGTGTGTTTGTGAAAATGTCGTGTGTTTAGTGCGTTACAACAGTGTGCTTAGGGGAGCACCGAGCACTGTACTGCTTGAATTGCTTATGGTTAGCCTGGAAAAAGGCTGGACTGGAAAAGCTTCTGAGCTGGTGAACTGGACAGTTCAAAGAGCAGTTTCATAAGCAGTGTGATTTATGGAGGACTTTGAGACGGGTTTTTAACCAGCTGCGTTTTCAGGAGGTTGCAGCTGAAGTATTTAATGGTGCAGCAGTCATTAGACTAAAGCAACACGGACTTGCCCTGTCTGATCAAAAGTTCCATACCCCAGTTAATTTCTACTTGTTAAGCAAGCAAATATTATGGGATGAATTCTGCTTTAGTCAGTCACTAGAATATTTACCCAGCGCTGCTCGGGTCAGTAACTCCAGTGCGTGGTGTTTGTCTTCATTGGAACCTTGCTTGCGTGGGCTGGGGAGGAAGGGTCAGTCTGCGTGTGCTTGCTGCCGCTGTAGCAGGCACAGCCGGGGGAGAGGTGCATGTTCCCTGGCTGGGGGACAGACAGACACACACAGATAAACTCTCTGAAATATAGAGCAGATAGCTCTCCCTTTCTCCACCCTGCCCCCTCCTGGCACAATGGGGTTACAGCTATCCCTCCCCCCATCTCTGTCCCCCTCCCCCCGTCATTCTGCAATGTAACTCCCTCCTAGCAGACCTCCCCTTTCCATTTGATGAGAAACAATCAAATTCCACCCACATCCTATTGTCCTGGCACAACTGAACACTGGAGGGATTAGTGTAATGGCTGGTTTACCTTTGCAGCTGTTTCCCCCCGGTGGAGGTGTTTCTAGTCTTCGTGATAGTTTCCACCTGATACCTTAGAAATAATTTGTTGGAAAAATATGTAAGAAAATCTTGCAAGGTGCCCCTTTCCCAGCGATGGCGGCAGCGCAGTGTGGGGGTTGTAGATTACGTGTGGGAAAGGTGGTCACAGACTTCTGAGTTCCAACCTTGACTCTGGCGTTTACTTGCTGCTTCTCCTGGGGCCAGTCACTCAGCAGCTCTGCCTGTTTTCCCGTCTGCGTAATGAAGATTGCAATAACCCATGATGCTGATGATTCGCTACGGTCTGTGCAGCTCTTGGGAGGCATGGGGTGTGTAGAATGGAGTGAGTCTTACAGTGAAACACAACACTGAAACTTGTCTGGTTTTTCTAGTTACTATGTTGGCATGTGTGGAGATGGTGCAAATGACTGTGGTGTAAGTACACTTCTGTTTGTTTGGCTTGAAGGAGCTACTCTCACGTTCCTGAGAGTGTAAGAGCTGAAGGGTTATTACCAATCTCTCTCTCCTCCTGATACCTGGCAGGCACTGAAGAAGGCCCATGGTGGGATATCGCTGTCTGAACTTGAGGCTTCCGTGGCATCCCCATTCACCTCAAAATCTCCCAGTATTTCCTGTGTGCCAGACCTTATCAGGTAAGGCTCCGGGTGCTCAGCAGACAGGTCCCCTTGGGGATGCAGGGTGCAAGCCAATATCTTGCATGCCAGCAACGGGAAACCAATGCAGTGCAGGCCTGGCTCTCTCCATACGCCGTGCGACTTGCTGTTTGATCCGAGAGCTCCCGAGGATGAGACATACACCTTGATAGTTTTTGCCTTTGGCAGAGGCTCTCTGAGAGTAATGTCTTTCCAGAGCATGAGCCAGGGTTTTACTACTACTTTTGGCCACATAAAATTAACTGCCCGTTAAGGTAGGGGAGTGTCGATAGCCATCCGAAGTTGTCGGAAGGGGCATTAAATTTCCTAGCAACAAATTGATGTGTTGCCATTAGAAACCAGGAATATTTTTTGGAGTTTGTAGGAAGCTTTAAATGAACAAGAATTCTAATATCTGTGCTGTTGGAAAGAGACCATTCAAGGCAGAAAACGCCGTTGTGGGCTACAGCTTCTGTTCATGCCCTGAAGTTCAGCCTGGCTCTGAAGGGAGACCGTGAAGGATGGCGCTTGGGTTCCATGTTTCTCTCCAGGATTGCTGGGCCAGGGTTACTCTGTTTCCATTTATAAAAATGTCTCTTTCTAGGTGTTGTCAGTCCCTACAAACTTACCCTGGGACCTGAGAGGCAAGTGATGTTCTTTCCTGCTTGGGCATAATCACCAGCACTAAAAATTGCCCTTAGTGATAACTTTGGGGGAGTCCCACTGGAATTTCAAATGGGGTGGCTGGGAACTGATTTTTGTCCCAGCAACTTGAACTTGGCTGGTGCCCGGGAATCCAGTTTGGTCTAAATCAGCGGCGTGAGCTCTGTGAGAAGTCCTGCCGAGCGGTTTGTGTCCCTTGAGCCCACGGATCTGGTCCTGAGTGCACACAGGGAGCGCCAGACGCATTGAGCCCACGGATCTGGTCCTGAGTGCACACAGGGAGTGCCAGACGGCTGCTGACTGTGTCGCCACGCACGCTTTCAGAGCAGAGGGGCGTCTCAGCGGATTGATTGATTGATTTTCCAATACAGCTTTTTAAAATGAAACAGCAGCAAGCCGAAATCTGATGATTCTTGGTAGATGGTATGTTCAGAATTGTGATTAGCTATCAAATGTATTCTCCCTCCTCCCCCCCCTTTTTTGACTTTTCTGTCTTTAGCAGAAAATGTCTCACTGCATTTGCTCTTCAGCTCAGCGTTAGCTGTCTCGCCAGCCAGGGTGTCGTTGTTGACTTCACTGGCTTTCGTTATGTCTGTTTTTGTTTTTACAGGGAAGGCCGTGCTGCTTTACTAACTTCCTTTTGCGTGTTTAAGTTTATGGCTTTGTACAGCATTATCCAGTATTTCAGCGTCACTCTCCTGTACTCGGTGAGTGTTCGACAATACAGCACTCCAAAGCTCTTACGTGAGGGTTCAGATGAGCCAGTTAATGCCTGGCTGGTTCTGTACGTTTCTTGGGGAGCTTGGTGATTGTAAGATTCATCTTCCTTTCATTTTCTAGATCATGTATAAAATGATCATCTAAAATGTTACTACTTCGCTTTTGATAACGAGCTAACGTGGTCACCGCGTTCATAGTATTTCATCTCCTGCTCTGTAGTTCGTATAGGGAATACTGTGGTAAGATTTTCTGTTTATGAAAGGCGGCAAACCCCACAGTCAGGTTGAAATGGCTCACAGAAGAGCTGTGATGGAGGTGTGTAGCCACAGAGCAATACAATGCAAACACCTAGCACAGGGCTCTCCAACCTTTCTAACGACAGGATCACTTTCTCAATGTAAGATCTACCTCAAACCCAAATACCCTGGCCCCACTTCCTTCCCGCCCCTTCTTTGAGGCCCTGCCCCTCCTCCACCCTTTCTCCGAGGCCTCACCCTGCTCACTCCATCGCCCTTCCTCCCCCATCCTCACTCACTCTCACCAGGCTGGGGTAGTCTTGGCCAAGGGGTTTGGAGTGTGGGAGGGGCGCCGGGCTTAACCCAGGGCAGGGGATTGGGGTCCAGAAGGGGTTTCAGGGTGCAAGCTCTGGGAAGGCATCTGGGTGCGGGGGTGGGCAGGAGGTTGGGTGTAGGAGGGGGTTCAGGGCTGGGGCGGGTTTAGGAAGCAGGCCTTGGCTGGGCACCATTTAACTGAGACGGATTCTGGTTGTTGGAGCAGCAGGGTAAGACAGGCCCACTCCTGCGCTGGCCCTGCACCGCTCCAAAGCAGCTGGCACATACAGCAGTGGCGCCATGTGCTGCCCCTCATCCACCAGCACTGAGCCCACAGTGTCTCCTGGCCACGGTTCCCCCTCCCACCTTGCTCAGGGCCGCAGGGTCATGCCGGCCACTTCCAGGAGCAGTTCCCACAGGGATAGTTACTCCAGCTCGGCGTTGGAGAACTCACTGCTCACAGGCGTACACGTAAACGTCAGAGAGAAATGCAAACGCTGAAACGCAGACCTGTCAAAACCCAGATAACAGAAGTAACAAGAACCCCCACGTGTGAGTTGGGTCGGGAGAGGAGAGGGAAGGACGGTCTGTGTTTGTGAGAGTCACAGAGATGTGCACTGCCAAGTTCCCTCTGTGTGGAGATAGGCTACAGGAGTGGGGGAAGGGGGTGGGGCACTCTGCCATCAGCCCCCCCTTCTCTCCCCCCCACACCCTGCACAGCAAGCAGGAGGCTCCCGGGGGGCAGCTCCAAGGCAGGGTGGAGGGGCAACCGAAGTGCCAATGCTTGAGAGCTTCCCGGCCCAACCAGTCAGGATCCTGTCAGAGGCTCCAAGATCTGCGATAGATCCAGATCTCCTGGTTGGTGACCACTGGCCTAGCAGAATGGGTAGAACGAAGGCCTGGTTTGTATTGGTTACCGTGCCGTGTTACCAACTACCAGGAAAGGAAGAGTGCTGTAAAAGTCAGTAGTGACACAGCTTGAGAGAGAACACCTGGAAGGTGCCGAGTTGTGCGTGTTTGGGCAGAAATGACTAAATGGCTGAACTTCGTCTCTCCGTGGAAACTCCCTCCACTCTAGCTGCTGGTTAATTCACCTGTGTGACTTCCATTCGGAATTCATAAACGACGAGGAGTCCTTGGCACGTATAGACTAACACATGTATTGGAGCATGAGCTTTCGTGGGCAAAGACCCACTTGGTCAGATGCCAATGAATCTGTTGGTCTGTAAGGTGCCACAGGACTCCTCGTTGTTTATGCAGATTCAGATGAACACGGCTCCCCCTCTGGTGCTTGTCACCATTCCTAATATAGTAAGGGAGTGGCAGCCGCTGTGTGATTAAACTCATGGGATTTTCTTGTGTCCAATACTTGGGGAGCTCTGGGGTCTGAGAGCCTGCATTTCCTGGGTATAGGTGGCCTTGTTTTACTGATTTGGCCAGAGAGCAACTTGCACCTAAACTACCTAAAAGCGTATTTGAGTCTGCATGCGGCAGTCATACAGTCCAGTGCTAACACAGGGCTTGGTCCTGCAGGGTGCATGGTGCTCCTGACTTCCACACTGGACACAGCCCACTGCAGGCTGGGCGTGCTTTTAGCAAGTTTCGGTGCAGGTGTTAGAGCTGCCCAGTGTTCCTTACTGTGAAGGAGTGAGTAATACTGCCCTTGTGTTTTCTGCACAGATCCTGAGCAATTTAGGAGACTTCCAGTTTCTCTTCATCGATCTGGCAATCATTTTGGTGGTTGTCTTCACTAGTGAGTATTGTACTGAATTAGCCGTCAGCTGTGGAAAAAACCAAAACCAACTGCGGGTCTCAGGCACACGTTTGCTTTTTAGCATCTCGTTAAATAGCCCTGCTGCTGTCAGCTGACTTCTGTATTTTGATACCTGTAAAGGAGCCAGCTCAACGCTCCGAGTAAATGACCTGACAAAGTGCCCCGAGGTGTTGCCCTGCAGTTCTGCGTGTGGCAGTGGCATGGGAGGGTTCAGTAAACCTGTCACTGTGTTTGGAATCCCTTTGTTCATGTAAAAGGCCAAACTGATCATTGCTAGTTCTGTGACATACCACGTGAGCGGGTATGTCCCTGGTTCTCCTTGTGCAGCCGCAGGTCTCTGCTGGCCTCGGCGACTCTGCTTTCAGCCAGTACCAGGGGATGCTCTCTTACTGTTTCATGGCTGGCTGCTCCCCCGGCCTCTGCACTGCGGGTGAGTAGGGAAGGCTTGACCTTCCCCACCCCCACCTGCCACGTACCTGTAGGCGAGAGCACAGGAAGCAGGAGAAAAGAAATCTGAAGCGAGCTGTGTACGCTTGGGGCTTGTGTTGCAATTGAAATCAGTGCATTTGAGACTGTAGAAGCCCTCCACAAATATTGAACCAAATGGGGTTCCACTGTTACCAGTGCCATTAGCTGCAGTTCATTTGGTAAATTGCTTGATAGTCTAGTCACAAGTCAAACACTCTGCAGCATTTTCTAGGCTGTGAGTGGGTTTGCGAGTCCCCGCTTGCGAATGCATCCTTACACACCCTTGAGCTAGCTCTCCTCCAGCTAGCGGGAGTATGAACAGCTGTGTAGCCAGCTGAGCCAGGCCAAGCGCTCCCGCCGCCTCCCAAATTTCAGGCGGGTACTTGTGCTACTGTGGCTACTTATGCCTGCTGCTGACAGAGGAGCAGGGGAATTGCACTCACATAGCTTAGCCCAGAAAAGTCAGACGGGTTCGTGCTCGGCCCCGGGCAGATTCTAACCTCCCCTCCTTTTCTTTCTCTCCGCACAGTGAGTTTAAATCCCGCTTGGAAGCAGCTTGTGGCACAAAGGCCGCCGTCAGGTCTCATCTCAGGTCAACTTCTCTGCTCAGTTCTGTCTCAGATTCTCATCTGCCTTGGTTTCCAAACTGTGGGATTTCTTTGGGTCAAACAGCAGCCCTGGTATGAGCCCTGGACCGCACAGTCAGAGTACGTGGAGCCTTGGTAACTGCAGTCTGGGAACGGGGGAGGCGTGAAAACATTTCATGTGGCAACTGGCGAGTGCGCAGAGCTGGCCCGGGGGCCTTGCCTTGGGGAAGGGCTTCTTAGAAGCAAACTACAACAGGGTTCTTGCCTTGAACGGGCCTGCCGCCTCCTGCACAGGACTGGCAGTTCCCTCCGTCCCAGGGCTACTCAACTGTGGAAGCCCCGGGCCCACAATGGCACTCACCGCACATGCCGAGGGCTGCTAATTGTGCGGTTGCATAGACATGCAAATCTATGCAAATAGCTGCTTTCACACTGACGGGCATGAATACCAAGATTAAGCCTTAAACCAGGGCACCAGACCCGAATGCGGCCAGTGTGAGCCAGTCCCCGCACATGCCAAGGGCCGCAACTTAAGTGTGGTTGCATATGCATGCAAATATATGCAAATAGCTTCTTTCACAGAGCGCTCCCAGCACCTTCTCCCTGGGGGCTAGAAATGCCGACACCCTGTACCCGTCTGTTCCAGCCAGCCCGTCCGCTGGCGTCTGTCAGTGCTCGCCCCGCCTGGGAGCCGCCTCGCCGCTGTGGAGCGTGTTCCCAGTGGAGGCCTTGTTCAAAGGGTGCCCCCCACGGGCCGCGTGTTGAGTAGCCCTGCTCTGTGCCGTTGCCTGTCAGGCTCCGTTGGAGCGCTCCGGAAAGGGGAGCTTGTGGCAGATGCTCAGGGTGCGTGGCGGGAATGAAGGGCTGAGGATGTACCAGGGCGAGCAGAGCGAGAGAGGATCTGCCCTCATGGGAGAGGGTAAGGGCATGGCAGCAGAGAGTCCTGGGCCGTTCATATTGCCAGGGAACGCACTGGGATTCACAGCTCCCAGGGCCCCACGGGACACTCCAGCCTATGAGCTCAGGCACCCCACACAGCGGCCTTTCTGCTTGACGTCAGTCACCACAGCAAAATGTGGAAACCCATGTGTCCAGCCAGTTCTGAAGTGAACTAGCCAAACAGCCCCACGTGGCCAGTGCCTAGCGTGCCGGGCACCACGGATCTGAACTGTTCCCACCAGAGCCTCTTAGCAAGCGCTGCTGGATGGTGGCCACAGTGAAGAGCAGGCTGAAGCATGCTGTACCCTTTATTTTGACTGTCGAATATTCTCCTTGTTGCAGTGCATGTGACCCAGCAGCAGCTGCAAATGCCAGTGCCTCCCCACACGGGAATGACACGGAGCACGATGAGCACAATATCAAAAACTATGAGAACACAACGGTGTTTTTCATCTCCTGCTTTCAGTACCTCATAGTGGCAATTGTCTTTTCTAAAGGGAAGCCCTTCAGGCAGCCTTCCTACAAAAACGGTAAGTCTCTTCTCAGCACAGACAATCCCGCTGGTTTTCGGGGTGAGCATTCCAGAGCACGAGGCATGGTCCACTCAGGCAGCACATCCTTTTGGGTGCGTGTGGTGCTGCTTTTGCAGGAACAGATCTGCTGTGGCAGGAATGTGGGGCTCCACCCGGAGAAGAAGCAGGAGAGGGTTTTGCAGGTGTCACTAGATGGGGCAGAGCTGGGAAAACGAGTGCAAACATTCTCTCACTCTACACATTTCAACAAGACGTTTGAATGGCACGCCCGCCTGGGAAAGCCCCCGAGATCCCATCATTGCCGCGGTACTGAGTGACATTTCTCCTGGACTCAGTGGCTCTGGGCGCAGGATACTCCTGCATCCCATTGCTGATTTGTTTAAGATGCTGAATAATCCTAGAACCCCAGGGCGGGCAGAGACCTCAGGAGTCATCAAGTCCAGCCCCCCACCCAAAGCAGGACCGACCCCCAACTCAATCAACCCAGCCAGGGCTTTGTCAAGCGGGGACTGAAACACCTGTAGGGATGGAGACTCCACCCCCTCCCCTCCCAGCGCTTCCCCACCCTCCTAGGGAAATAGCTTTTCCTAATCTCCAACCTAGACCTCCCCCACTGCAACTTGAGCCCATTGCTCCTTGTTCTGCCATCTGCCCCCACTGAGAACAGCCTCTCTCCATCCTCTCTGGACCCTCCCTTCAGGAAGCTGAAGGCGGCTCTCAAATCTTCTTTTCTCCTCTCCTGTCCTCTAAATTAAATAGGCCCAAATCCCTCAGCCTCTCCTCAAAGGTCATGTGCTGTGGCCCCCTGGTCATTTTTGTTGTCCTCCACTAGACTCGCTGCAGTTTGACCCCATTCTCTCTGTAATGGGGGTTCCAGAACTGGACTCAACACTCCAGATGTGACCTCACCAGAGCCGAATAAAGGGGAATGATGACATCTCTGGATCTGCTGGCAATGCTCCTCCCAATGCACCCTAATATGCCATTAGTCCTCTTGGCTACAAGGGCGCCCTGCTGACTCATCTCCAGCTTCTCATCCACTGTAACCCCCAGGTCCTTTTCTGCCGAACTGCTGCTTAGCCAGTCGGTCCCCAGCCTGTACCAATGCTTGGGATTCTTCCATCCCAAGGGCAGGACTCTGCACTTGTCCTTGTTGAACCTCCTCAGATTTCTTTTGGCCCCATCCTCTAATCTGTCTAGTTCACTCTGGACCCAATCCCTGCCCTCCAGTGTATCTATCTCTCCCCCCAGCTTAGTGTCATCTGCAAACTTGCTGAGGGTGCAATCCATCCCCTCAGCCAGGTCATTGATAAAGACTTTGAACAAAACTTGACCCAGAACCGACTGCCGAGGTGCACTTGATACCGACCACTAGCCAGACATCGAGCCATTGATCACTACCCGTTGGGCCCAACAATCTCACCAGCTTTCCAGCCACCTCACAGTCCATTTATCCAATCCTGTGGGAGACCGTATCAAAGGCTTTGCTAAAGTCAAGGTCTGTCACATCCACTGACTTTCCCATGTCCACGGGGCCAGGTACCTCATCACAGAAACTAATTAGGTTGGTCAGGCATGATTGCCCTTGGTGAATCCATGTTGATTATTCCAGATCACCTTTCTCTCCTCTAAATGCTAGTTACATTTTTCACTTCTAACTCTGTTGGGACAGTGTGTTTGCTGCATACACAGAAATCAGCTTGCTGATATTCTTAAGATAGTTTTGTGTGTCTAGAGCTCTCACATGCAGATTTTTTTTTAGTTTTAGATTGTTGATTTAATGTTTTTCAGAATTCTGAAAGATTCTGGTCTCTATTGTAGGCCTCAGAATGTATATTTAAAATGGTCTTTCAGGAGTTCAGAAAAGTGCAATGTAAAATCTGCAGTGTTTTGTTGCTAGGGCAGTGATTCATCTGAACTCCTGCAATTTAGTCATTTTGTATTTATATCAAATTATATGTATATACCGTATATACCGTAAATTAGCGAATATAACCTGCATCCATGTATAACACGCACTCGTGTATTACCCATGGGTTTTCTATCGTGTTTAAAAAAATTTGGATTACCCACGGACGTATATAACCCGCAGACACTTCTGCTGCCTTTGTAAAAGGTGGTCTGTGATGCCACAGTGGGAGATGTGGCAGCACCCCGGGCACTTGAGCAGCAGTGCCGAGGTGAGGAGGTAGCCGCCTAGCGTAGCGAGCAGACACAAGGCGACGGCCATCCTGCTGCCAGCGAGCCGGCCGGCCTGCGGGAGGGGAGCCGCGCTCATGCCCAGGCCCACCCCGTGCAGCCGCAGCCAGGTGCCACCCACCCTCCTCCGGGCAGGGGGAATGGAGAGCATAGTGCAGGCCCTGGAAGCTCGTCAGGCCCTCTCTGTCCCCCTGCAGCAAGCTTGGGGGGGGAGGGGGGCAGAGCCACTTAGGGGAACTGATGCTCCCGGGGGGACTCCAAGGAGTGAAAATCAACTTGTATAAGACGCAGACATGTCTACCCCACGGGGGGCTGTGGGGGGCGTGGTTGGTAAACACGTGTATAACCCACGGGTTATATTCGCTAATTTATGGTATTATTTTAGAAGGTTAGTGGAGACAGCTTTACATGTGTGCACACATGCTAAAGTGAAATGGTGGATAAATATAATTCAGATTTCGAAGTAATCTGAGATTTGTGCTCTGTTATGAAAGGGAACACTCTTTGTATATGAAGTGTCAAATACGTTGCATTTTTTCATGAGTTTATGAGAAGTTACCAGATGTTTGTTAAGGTGACTTTTTCACTTATGCAATAAAATCATTGCAGTATAATTTCTCAGGAAAGAAATCCAAAGCCATTTAATCAATATGTACTTGTATATGGGCTACCGATGCAGAATACATTTTGTGAATTATTGTTCAGGGTTTATCGTGATAGAGATGCAACAATCAAGAGGGACAATATGCTTGAAGTTCTATTTCTCTCTTTCTGTTTACAGCTCTATTTGTTGTATCTGTGATAGTTCTGTACATCCTCACATTTTTCATCATGTTGTATCCACTTGAATCCGTTGACAGCCTTCTTGAGGTAAGAGTCAACAAGCACGTGTGTGAATGTCACACCTCATGAAATAAGTTGGCTGGCTTCTCTTCCTGTCTAAAGTTCCCAATGGCTAGACTGACCCTTTGAAAGCTAGAGTACAGGTTCTACCAGAAGATGAAAATCTGGCATACTGAAAACCAAAAATACATTTAGTTTCACCGTTTTTTAATCTTTAATTAAAAAAAAATCTTGTCTACTGGCCCTCTGTCGATAAGCCTTATCTTCCCTGTCGCAGAGACTCATGTTTAGGCAATAACAGAGGCGTTAAAAGTCGAGATTTACAACCAAGCTTGTTTCAAATTTGCTTTATTTCACAGATACACTGTTTTAGTGTGTAACTGCTCAGTGCGTAGCGCGCATTGCTCACCTGTGGCATCTTTGTCTTGCAGTTAGTGTGTGTACCGTATCAGTGGCGTATAACAATTCTCATCATTGTCATCATCAATGCAATTGTATCCGTCTTGGTAGAGGTAAGTAGTTCAGATGTGCAAGGGGGTTCTCCATGGAGCCCTTTCCTGGGTGTTAGGACGCCCTGTCTGAATGCTGATGGAGTACCGTTGTGTTTGTACTGCTGGTGTATTTTCAGGCAAGAATGTTTCATAACACAGATCATTAATATCTAACCTGACCTACGCATTGGTACGGAGTTCGGTCCAAGCGACTCCAGCATGTATCTCTGGCCTTATGCTGGATCAGAAGTGTGCATCACTTTAACAGTAGAAGGGGCCTGGCAGGAAGAGCCACTAGATCCTCTAGTCGGGGGTTCTCGGACTTCACTGCACTGTGACCCCTTTCTGAGAACAGAAATTCCCACGTGACCCCAGGCAGGGACCAAAGCCAGACCCCACCCACTCCCCACTGCCTAGGTAGGAGGGCCCCAGGCAGGAGGCCTGTAACTGAGCCCACCCCGCCAGGCTGAAGTCTGAGACATCATCTTTGGTTTTGGTTGGGCTTTAGCTTTGGCCCTGGCAAGTCGGAGCCAGCCCTGGCGACCCCATGCAAATGAGGTCACACCCCACTTTGGGGTCCTGCCCCACAGCTTGAGAGCCACTGCTCTAGTCTGACCTCCCGTATCTCATGCCCCCTTTCAGCCAGGGACTGAAGCGCAGTCAGTTGGGTTTGGCTCAGCTTCCGTCTTGATTGGAAGAAATCAAGAGATGGAGAATCCCCCACTCCCTGGTTGGTTTGTTCCCCAGGGGTCGATCGTCCTCTGTTAAAAATGTCTGACTCCTACTTGGTGCTTGCCTGGCTTCCCTTTCTAGGCGCTGGCTCTTGCCTCGCCATTCGCTGCTAGAGTCAGGCCCTTGCATAGCTGAGACGCCCCCCGAAGGAATTATACCTTGTCATTGTCACCCCTCTCCGGCTGGACTAGCTGAACAGACCGGGCTCTGCCACTGCCTTGGAAGGCGTTTTCTTGGCTCACCTTTGTGGTTCCTTTCCGCAGCCTCCATTTTCAAGGCCTTTTAAAAATGTGGACACTAGGTCTCAGCTGTGCTGTGAACAGGGTAAAATCTCCTCCTCGCTGCTGCTTACTGCTCCCCCGTTTGTACATTCAGGCACCCCCTTGGCACTGTCTTCCAAAGCATCGCTCGAGGAGCTCACGTTCAGCCGCTTGTCCACTAGCGCCCCCAGATCCTTTGGGTTTCTGCTTCCTGGGATCCAGTCCCCTCTTGTGAAAGCTGGCCTGTGCTCGCTATTCCTAGACCAATCACTGCAGTGAAATGTGTGTAGCTTGGATGGGCCCTGTTTCCAGTGATCCAGGTTGCTCTCTAGGACCGTCTCATCCTCAGTGTTTGCCACTCTCCTGATCTTTGCCATCCGCAAATGTTCTCAGCAGTGACTGTGTATCCCAGGCCATTGATGGGAATGTCGGACACATGGGATCCCCCTGGAATGCCACTTGAAACATCCCATTCAGTGGCTATTTCCCATTGAGGACTACTGTAAAGATCTGTCAGTTAGCCGCTTCTTAATTCATGTGGGGTGAGTTTATAGCTATCTCAGGGTGCCGGTTTTTAAATCAGAATGTCCTAGTGTGTAAATCAAAGGCCCCGAGTGTGTTACATCTGCACAGCTGCCTTTATCAACTACACTTGTATTTTCATTCCAAGAAGGAGATCAGGGTTTCCTGTCACCTGGAATGTCTCTGGGGTTCAAACACTTAACATTTTATATCTGTGGGCAAAGGGTCTGCCCAGCCAGCTCTTTTAGCAACTCAGGAACAGGGTTGTCAACCATCAGTAAATTTACGAACAGTCTGTAAAAAATTAGCCGAAATTGGACCTGTCTATAAAGTCCGTAAAAAAAAAAAAATGTAGGTGTCCATATATTTCGTAAAATTTCAAAAAGCAGCAATTATTCTCTAGCGATTACATTTCTTCTGTGCTGCTTCAGCCATTTTACTGTGGAGCAGCAGAAATTGGAGGTTTTAATTGTTTATTTAGGACCATGTCTGACTAAATGAAAGTGTGTTAAATAGCATATTGTTCTTGTGATGTATGAATGACAACGATTACTCTTCACTTTGGGCCATTTATGTCGTCTTAATATAATATAAAAATTATCTCAATAAAAAATGTGTCTGTAAATTTTTTCCCATTTTGTCTGTAAACGAAATTTCTGTGGGTTGGCAACCCTGCTCAGGAAGTTCTCCAGACCTGCTGATTTTAAAATTATTTATTTCTAATACATTGTCAACATCCTTCTTTGTTTGAAAGGACTTCTCCATTCGCATGTGACACAGCAACTTCTTCCTTTTGCAAATTCAGAATAGAATAGAAAAAATATGGAATATTTCTTTTTTCTGCATCCATTTAATCAATAGTAGGCCAGTAAAATTGCTAGAATTTTTTTAGCTCCTAGTTTTCTAAACTCCTTATTGTCCTTAATGCTGCTTGTCACTGAGTTTTCCCTGACATCTTTAGCTTCCTGTATCAATTTCCTGTACTTCATAACTTCTCATTTTTATCACTTGCTATCTGCTTCCTCATTTGTTGTTTATTGCATTTTTATTTTGACTTGGTGATGTACTTTGTCACTGAACCAGGATGGGGTTTCAGTCACAGCTGTCGTATATCTTGTTTGTGGTATCATGACTTTTTGGCCACCTATTAAACTCTTCTTTAAGAACTTCCCAGTTTTCAGTCACATTTTTCTATCTGAAATTTTCTTCTCAATCAGTTTTGCTCATAATAGTCCTCAGCTTTGGGAAATTAGCTTTTTTTGAAGCACCAAGAATGTACGTTACTGGTTGGGACTGTTCTCTGTTTACTACTATTAAATGTAATTAAGCCATGAACACTGGTTGCCAAGCAACCACCAACTTCCAGTCCAGTAATTCATTCCTAGTTCTGTCATCACAAAGTCCAAAAGCGTTACTTCATTGCGTGCATCACCTTTTGTGTTAGGAAATGGTCATCTATCGTTTTTAGAAACCAATGTGTGTTCTGCAAGCAGGACTTTACCAGGGTTCAGAAAAGAGCTAGCTAGATTCATGGAGGTTAGGTCTATCGATGGCCGTTAGGCAGGACGGGTAGGAATGGTGGCCCTGGCCTCTGTTTGTCTGGCAGTGGGTGACGGGAGGGATCGTGTGAGGATTCCCAGCTGTGATCCCTCCCTCCGGGCACCTGGCAGTGGCCGCTGTGGGCAGCCAGACACTGGGCTGGAGGGGCCTTTGGCCTGACCCCGTCTGGCCGCTCGGATGTTTTTGTGACTAGCTGCAGGAGCTCTCAAGCTAAGTTACCACTGAGCTGCCTGGCTGCTTATTAGGCCCCACATAGGGCAGTGGCAGGAAGAGCTGCCTCTCCCCAAGCCCTGACTGTACCACTGCACTGTCCCCTGGAGGGCCGGCTCTGGGGGCAGGGCACTGGCACCACCGCCCTGGCTCAGCCACACCGCAGCTGCTGCAGCTGGGCAGGCCCCTCTCCCTGCATAGCCCTCAGTCAGCCTGCACCCAAAACCCCCAGCCAGAGCCCTCCCCTTCCCCACACCCAGACCTTCTGCCCCCAGCTGGAGCCCCAGAGCCCGGAGCCCCGTCCTACAGGCCGAGCCCCTGGAGCCCACCTGCCACAGGCTGTCCATTCGGGGAATGAGTCTTGCTGTGTGCGCAGTGCGGAGGTGATGTGTGTCACACGGCCCTCGCTGTGACTCTCATGGCTTGGGCAGGGACCCACAGCCCCTGCAGTGTCCTGAGAGCAGCCCGACCGGACGCACACTCAGCAAGCCTCCGAGTGCCGTGTCTGTGTCCCCGAGCAGCCTGCCGCTCCGCCTTGCCCAGTACCGGGCTTGGCACTGCGATCAGCACTGCTGAATAAGTACCCGGCACATCAGACTGACCAGAAGGCGGCAGATCATTGGAGAAGTCGCAATTCTCCGCGTCCTTAGAACGTGCCGAATGGCAGGCTCCAAGCGCCTTTTAAAAACGCCTTTTTGTGTAAATGCCGTTGTCATAATCAGTGCAGTTCACGTGAAGCATGCGTCCTGCTCCTGAAACCTCGGGAAGCACATGCACGCCGGGCTGCTTTCTCTCTTCAGTGCAGATCCAGATCAACGTTGTCAAAGGAAAGCTGGGTTTAGTTTTGCCCTGAGTTAATTGTGCCTGCCTTGCTGATCAGACTGTATGTTCACATGCACACTAACAACAAATGATCATTAGTCTTTTTCATTCTTCCCGCTCACTGCAACCTCTCGCAGAATGTCTTCCTGGACATGATCCTTGGGAAGGCTGTGTTCAGTCGAGACAGGCAAGGAGAATATCGCCTCGCCACGCCCCCGCCACCTCAGGTTGGAGACCAGTATTTTGCTGTCAATCCTACAAATGTCTGCAGATTAATTTGGTTTTCTCCCATGCATTTTATAGTGGCATGCATGTGTGCTTGCTGCCCTTATAAAGTCTGTTTTGAAATCGTGTCTGATGTCTGTAGCTTTACAGTTAAAAAGGACTGTAACCGAAGCGCCGTTACACATTACATGTGTACATGGAGATGTGTAGCTGCACTTACAGGTCTTGAGAGAGAGAGTGCCTGTCACTTTTGAGGCCTCTCATTTTTCTTTTGACATGTGTTTTCACCCCCAAATGGCACAATTAAATTTTCAGAGACTAACATGCAGTGTCTCCACTGCCCATTGCAGACCCGTAGTAGTAGTCTGCATGTCAGCAGATCGGTAGAGTCGGACTAGAAATACTTGATTCTTATGAAATCAGGGGTCGGGGGATTTGATCCAGCTCCCAGTGAAATGAATTGTGTTGACTTCAAAGGATGTTAAATTGTCCTCTCGGTCAAGGGTCTCAAACTCCCGGCCAGGGGCGGTCCCTGATCGTAGTGATTGCAGAATCGGACACTGGCCCCCAAGTTCCTCCCCTTCCCACCAGCCCGCTCCCCCTGAACCTGTGGCTGGCCTGCAGGCCGGGAGTTTGAGACCCCTGCTCTGTGTGATCAGTAATTTGACACACACATACTAGCAGGTTACTTACAGTTCATTGCTTTGCATGCTTTTTAACAGCACACGCTGTGAGATCGGCACTGTTCGTTTAAATTGCTTATGCTTGTTGTTTGGAGACAGCTGAGCAAACGCGTGTCAGGGTAGAGGGTTTGGGTGTCCCCCCTTCCTCCCCATCTGGGCATCAGGCAGACACAGCTCTATTAGACACGTGGTTTAAGGCTGTTACCTGCAATGGGAGACTCCAGGCAGGACTCTGCTTGCTGGGAAATGCCGGGGAAGTGTGCGAGCTGGATACTAGGATGCAAAGTCTGATTTTTTTCCCCCTCACCTTTGTACCTTTTAAAAATCTCCTTGCTGCCACAACGCAAGCGAGGTGCGTGCGACCGTGACACGTTGTGATAAAACCCAAGCCCAGCCCATTGCTAAGGAACGTCCGATTCGCTCTGGGCTCTCACTGTCAGGTTTCTGGCGTGTGGTGTCTTGTTTCCATACCTGTTTGTTTCCCTGTTCCCTCTGCAGGAGGCTCTGGATCGCTGGCGAGGCTGCTTCCTTTCGTCCCTGTTTGGCTGCAGAGGGAAGATCCCCAAAGCCAAGTACATGCACCTAGCTCAGGAACTGTTGGTCGATCCGGAATGGCCCCCCAAACCTAGAACAACCACCGAAGCGAAGGCGGCCCCCCCGGAGAATGGCTCCTGCCAAGTCATCACTGTAACGTAGCCGTGGCGCGTCTGTGGCCGTGCTCAGAGCGATCAGGGCTCTGGCGGTGTGAGCCTGGCTCGGGCGGTGCCGTCGCACGGTCGCTGACGGCAGTCGGAGCTGGGCATCCCCCAGCGGCTCCATTAAAAACGAGCGAGAGCGTGTACAGCAGAATATCTATTTTTTTAATTTTGAACCTCGCTTCCCCCAACACCGCTGGGCACAGCACGCTGTCTGGCGGCCTTGCCTGCTCCTTTGGAGAAACAGCCTGGAGCGGGCGGGCAGTCATTTCTCCTTCCCCTTTCTCGGAAAGCGCCGTGACTGCGTGTCTGTTTCACACGGACAGCATCCCTAGTAGCGCCCGAGCCTGCCCAGCTGTGGTGCGGTACGAGGGGACTGCGTCTGACCCTGCCGGCCTGGGGGATGCAGCAGAGCAGGGCGCTGCCTCCCTGGGAGGAAGGAAGCACATCGGTCCTCCTCAGCTAATCCTGAATTGTCCCGGGCTGCAGGAGGACGCGTTGTTAGGGCCTCTGAGGTGGAGCCACGTCATTGCTCCTGCATTCACCACGCCGGTGGCCCCGGGGTTCGGTTTCACTTCCAGACCCGGTTTTCTGTGTCAGTTGAGTGATGGCAGCCCCTTTGCACCAGCGAGGCCAGAACTGCTGCTGGGGGGCAGAACGTGCTTTTCACCAGCCCGTAGCATTAGCCAATAGTAGTTCTGGGCACCAAGGGCTTGTAAATGCCAAAGGGTTGGCCTACCAATGTCTTAATCAGCAGGCAGTTGTGTGCAGCTATGTTAGGGTGGAAACGGGAGCCTACGGCGCAGACTCCCCACGAGGGTGGGAACTTGTAAATACGAGACAGCAGAGCAGCAGCGACTTCTTCAAACCCATTGCATTTAGAAGCCTATAAAAATGGTGGTAAAATGCAAACCCTTCGGCACCCTAATGAAGCAGTAAAACCCGGAGGGAAAGCTCCAGCCAGTTCTCACTGCTCGTGGGAGAGAGTTGAAAAGCTCCAGTTCGGGTTGCCTTTTGGAACTCGGTGACATTGACCAATCTAAGCCACTCTGGGCTGTGGGGAGGACACCGGGCCCTTCCGTGCCAGGCCGAGTGATCCCTGCACTGACCCAGGCAGGCAGCTCGCGGGGGTTAGCGAGGGAGGGCTCGAGGGCTCTGTCGGAAGGGGGTTTGCAGCTCAGGCCTGTTTCCCGTGTGTCACAAGGCAGTGCCTAGTAACCCCCTCGCTGCTGAGTCTGCCGCACTGCTGCGGGAAGGAGTTCTGGGCGCTGCACGTGGGAGGCTCCTTTAGGGCTGGGAGGCCCGGCAGTGCCAGCACCAGTGACTCCTCAGGCCTTGCTAATGCGCTTGGGGCGCTCTGTGCCCCTGCCGACTAACCGCCCTCGCCTGGCTTCCTTTTGGGCAGGTGTGGAGCAGGGATGCAAAACCCTGTGTAATTGTTTAGCCAGTTAACCAACGGGGGGGTGCACAGCCGCGGCCAGCTGGGACACTCTCCTCCCTCACCTGTGGCGGGCCCCGCGAGGCTGGAGCAGCCTCCTGTCAGCGGGGGCAGGGAGCTGCTCCGGCCCCCCGGTTAACGGGAACCAGGAGGCCTCACCTGCAGTCCCATCCTCCGTGTGGAGCAGAATTGCCCTTGTGCTGCCTTGTTATGCGGTTCCACTTCAAGCCCTGGTTGTAACCTTAGACGCATGAACCCGGTCGCTGTCCGAGGCTGCCGCTGCGGAGTCTGGATCTTCGCTCACTGGGGGCCTGCCGGCTGAGGAATGTTCTCTCCCCTTTCTGTGTGAAGCCATGCACCTCAGACCATGGAGCTGTGACCTCCGACCACCCCCCTCTGCTTACAAGTAACTCACCGGGGTTTCTGAGTCAGCGTCCCTCATTGTAGCTTGCCTGGTCAGTGACAAGTGTGCACACGGCCTCTTTCCTGGCGTGGTGCTCATCTCCCGAGCCACTGCCCCGCCTGCCCTCGCCCAGCCTGTCCTGCCCGGCGATAAGCGGCCGTGTTCCACCCGCTCGAAATGCCCAGGCAGTGAGGAGTCAGCCGCGTGGCCAGTAGTGAGTTTGCTTAGCGAATTCCCAGAATTGCCAAGTGTGCCCTTTAAGTCTGGGCGCACGGCTTGTGAAAACTAGAGCACGATTTTCATTGGTCTGACGGCAGTGGAGTTGTAGGAGCTCAGCGCCTCTAGGGTCAGGCTCTCTGCTCTTCAAGTTGGGAGCCAAGATGAGTGGGGCTGTTGCCATCGCGGACGGACTGGCTAGTGTCTTTGGCCCAGAACCACTCGTTACTGCTGAGGACACAGGTCAGCTGTCTCGGTTTCCTTTTGCTTTTTGTTACAAGGGTTTATAGCTCTTGGGGTTCAAATGCAGCCATGCAAGTAGCCCGACTCCTATTGACGTGCCTGGGAATTGCACCTTCTGACCCGAGGGCCGGGCTCCGTCTGCACGCTTGTGTCACTTTGAAAGGGAGAGACGGTTGTTCAGGTGCACAGAAAGAGCCAAATTAGCAAGTTAGTTTCCTACATTGAAGTGTGTTGGACTTCAGAGTTTAGGCATAAAAGAATCCTTGTGTAATTTTTTCTTGAAAACTAATGAATTCAAATTAACAACTATTTAGTGGGCCCTACTAATTACTCTTGATGGACTTTTTTCTTTCTATTGTATAATTCAGCCTCGCACTGAAGAGTTTGATTCAGTTTTTCATATTAAATTATTTGAATGTATACAGACCTAAATTTAAATCTGTATATGTCTTACTTCAGTGTCCTAGGATTTGTAAATATTGCTGATTTAAATATTATTTATGCACATACTTTAAGGAATGGTTTACCCAGGAAAGCGAGTGTTAAATAATAAATGTAACTTAATTTTTTAAAAAATAAGCAACCAGATCTTTAAAATGTGTATCCCTCAGGGTTATTTTTAAAAATCTCCTTCCCTTCAGATATAATTAGTGGTAACTAGATTTCACACATTATACAACTAAATCTGCTGTAAAATAGGCTGCAAATAAGGTTTGGGTAAAAGTGGCTACGCCAAATTTGTAAACTTTAAATTGGGGACTTTTACAATTGCACTTTTATTTTTAAAATGGTCACAATTTTTTATTCTATTTATTTTATTCCTTGTTCTGTGTTTATGAAGATTGTGCTGAACCAGTTAATCTGAAATTGGGTAAATAATCATCTACTGTATTATGTATATATTATGTTAACATTAAACACATGCAGGATGCGTTTTTATGCTGCAAGTTTTTTAGCATTTTCCTTGGTTATCACAACATTCAGTAATTAGAAAGTGCTTTAGAATTTCTTCCATGAAATTTTGAATTACAAAACTAGATTTTTATATGTCTGAGTGAAAGGGGTGGGTTTCTGACAGTTTTTAGAGTCCTGAATATGTTAATTTTATACAGCACAGCTTTGGTTTTTTACAGCTATTTTCAATAAATTACAGCTTGTTTGATAATTGTGAACTGGAAATTACTCTTGGTTTCGGTGTGCTTCCTTGAAACTAACAAAAATAGAAGACTCGTGATTTCAGCATCCTCTGGAAGCTCCCTTCCTCTTTCCAAAAGCTAGTTCTAATCAGAGCGCCACTGTGTCTTTCTGTTTCAGAGCATGTCATGCTGCTGTAGCGTGGTACCCGGCTGTCAGAGGCACACGTGCAGAACTGTACATCATTGTAACGAGCCTTGTCGAATCATTTTTCTGATTGAAGCTATTTGAAATAAAATGCAAATGAACCACGTGCACGTTCCTCACCTTTGCTGTGCTCAGTGTTTGGGACTGTTCCTCTGGCTCCCCCCCGCGCGCGGTTAGGGCTTGATTCAGAGCTGGCTGAAACGGACAGAATGGCTCAGAGGGCGGTGGCTTAGTCCCTTGTGCACACACTCTCGCTCCCACACGTGTGCATGGGCGTGTACATCCACGCACAAGGTTGATCTGGAAACAATGCTAGTGACCAAGGCTCCCTTTCCTGAGCCCTGTGCAGAGGCAGGGAGCTCAGCTGATTGGCTGGGGAAGGCGGGGGCGGGGTACTTGCCCTCTCGGACCAGCAGAAGCAGCAGCTGCTGGTGCCTGCTCTAAATGGAGACATTGGCTCCAGCCTCTGCTCCAGGGCTGGGCAAAAGATGATCTGCAGGCTGGATCTGGCCACGAGAGCCTCAGCCAGGTCCCTGCCTGCCCCGCCCCCGGGGGCTTGGCACTCCGGAGAGCTGGGTGCAGGGCCACGTGTGTGTGAAGGCTGAGAGCCTGGAGGGAGGGGAGCCAGGCTGCTCGTTCTGCCCCCGTCCCCAGTAGCTCCCATTGGCCAATTTCCACCAGTCGCAGTTGCATGTTTGCAGGACAGGCAGCATGTGAAGTGCCCTCCTCCCCCATCCCTCGGGCTCACAGTGTTCGTGTTAGTGCAATACACAGGGCTCCTGCAGCTTCCCATAGCAGGCAGAGGGGCTGGAAGGCAGGGACCCTGGCTAAGAAACCTGCTGGCTGAGAGCCACGTAAGGTCTCCCAGCCCCTTCCTTCCTCCCTCCTACCCCATGTAACCCAAACCTGCACCCTGCTCCAGCCCCCAGAAACTACATCCCCTCCTCAGGTCACAACCCCCTCCCAGACCCTGCACCCCAATCCGCTGTCCCTGGTCACAGTCCAAATCCCTGCCCCAGCAACTCCTCCGCACCCCAGTCGTTGCCCCAGGTCATGATCCCCTACTTCACCCAAACTCCCTCCCAGATCCCACCTCCCCGAGCTCCCTTCTGCGCCCAACCTCCACCCCAGCCCCCCGCCCCTCATGGAAGAGTGTGGCCCTCGACCACGTACCAAATTCTTGGAGTGGCCCCCCCATCAGAAATTATTGCCCACCCCTGTGTTAAGAAAGAAGATGATTCTTTTAACCGTTTGTGGGTTGTTGCAGATCATCTAAACCTTTCATCTTGGTTTTTTAACTCCTCTGTTACTAATTACTCCATGGGAACCTGTTGCATTAGGGCCAGATCTTTGCTACGTGGTAGAGTTCTGGCTCTCGAGAGTCAGAAGTAGCGAGTACTAGGTGTGACACTGGCTGTTTCGTAGGGTGAAACCGTATTTGCAAGATCTTTTACCATGTGCCTGTCTGCTCGAAAGGCCAATGACCCGTGTGCTTCAAGGTCTCCGAAAGGTGCCGTGTTAGTCTAACTAAAAACAACTATGGTCCTTCG